ACTCCTTGGATGGTTCCTAACCTAGAATTTAGTTTAGTTTTTTTTTTTTTTGTAACTGAACAAATAGATGACTTCTTTCAAGAAGAGAAATCCAAACAAGACTCAGAAATAACCAGTGATGTCTATAGACAAACTATTTCTAGATTTAAGACTATAGCTTTCTTCTTAGTAGAGTGATGGTGAAGAAGAGAGTTTGAGAATGACTGCCAGTTTTTAAACACCAGCTCCAACATTTTGTAGTGCATAGGTGTGTGACATCAGGTAGTTTTCATTCTGTCTCCATTTACTCATATGTAAAATATGGTAGGAGTGGTCCCTACAACCTAGATTTAATGTGAGGATTAAATGAGATAAGTACTCAGTAGATCCTCAACTATTAATTTGATAGATAAAAGTGGAGTGTCTGTGATTTTTTTCAGGTACTGTACTAGTCAACTGGAATATAAAAATGAGCAAAAATTGGGGTGCCTGGGTGGCTCAGTCAGTTTAGCATCTGGATCTTGGCTTTTGCTCGGGTCATGATCTCAGGGTCTTGAGAACTGAGCCCCACGTTGGGCTCCGTACTTGGCAGGATGTCTGCTTGTCTTCCTTTTCCTCTGCACTGCCCCCCCCCACTGCTTGTGCATTCTCTTCTCTGAAATAGATAAATCTTTAAAAAAAAATAAGGAAAAATTCCTTCACTTGGAGCTGTACAGTTAGATGAGGGAACTGATTAATTAGCAGTCACATGAAGGGATATAACATGGCGACCACGATAAATGCAATGGAGAGGAATGAGGCTCTGCTGGAATGTGTAATAGTGACGGGTGCTGTCTGTGAGGTTAAAGAAAGTTCCCTCTGGAAGACCAACTTCAGTTGTAAAGAAAAACAGATGGGAATGAATCAGGACAAGGTGTGTTTGCCACCTGTGTGGGTGAGCTCCTGAGGATGAGAGCATCCCATTCATTGAGCCAATCATCGAGAGTGGCCCTGGGACAAGAGGGCTCTTAGTGACTATGAGAAACTGAAGTGGCTGGTGTGTGGAGGGAAGGGCACACTGGGCAATGTTACCTGAGAGGAGGCTGGATCCTGGGGGGTAAGAGGGGGTTGGTCACAGCTTGGGGAACTTTACAGGCTCTGTTTAGGAATGTAGTCTAGTAAGCCATGTTGGGTGTTTGAATTCTGCAGACACATTGCAAAGATCTATTATTCTTGTTGTTATTGGTTGTTTATTTTTTTTAAAGATATATTTTGTTTTATTATTTTTTAAAGATTTTATTTATTTATTCATGTGAGACACACAGAGAAGGGCAGAGACATAGACAGAGTGAGAAGCAGGCTCCCTGCAGGGAGCCTGATGTGGTACTTGATTCCAGGACCCCTATTTATTTTTTTAGAGAGAGGGTGGAAGGGCAAATGGAGAGGAGAAAAGAGAATCTCAAGCAGACTCCCTGCTGAGTATGGAACCCAGCGAGGGGCTTGATCTCAGGACGCTGTGATCCTGACCTGAGATGGAATCAAGAGGCAGACACTTAACGGATTGAGCCACACAGGTGTCTGTTGTTGTTATTGTTATTATTATTATTTTTATTCCTTAGCAGTCCTTTGCATACTAAATATGTTTATATACTTTAATGTTTACTTATTGATCCTTCAATCTCCAATTTAATTCCTCTAAGAATTATTGTTCTTCTCCCAATACTTAATTCCTCCATTCTTCCATTTAGGAATAAAGCTGAGAAGACAGCTTTGTTTCCTTTCAATCAGTTTTACTATTTGAAGTGGAATTTGCTTTTGTAGAACTTTAAGCAAGACAAATGAAAAATGATTGCCAAAATGTTACCTACTGTGACACACACAAATATTTTATGCCTCTTCACCTTTGTGAAATGCTCAAATGCTGTCATTTGTAACTTGTCTAACTTAAACAAGCTAAAGCCAAAATCATTAGAAATTTTCGTGTCCTGTGTTGGCAGGAAGCTCAGACTGATTTCACATGGTTTGATCTTACCCAGAACCAACTTTTGGAAATGTGAGGCCTGAGGTCAACTCTGAGTGACAAAGGGGGACTTTGACAGTGTTTGTATGTGTGCATGTGTGCGCACACATGATATTTTGTATTTGCTGATCTTCTCTTCATCAGTGAAGAGTATGGGTACTGTGAAGGTCCCCAGATACCTATAAGGCCACAACTCCTTTTCCTACTCTAAAATGAGGAAATAGTGTATTCTATTAGGATGTGTAAATAAAATTGCCCTGAGCTTTACATGAAACCTGAGTAGCCTTGGGATGCCCCGGGGCTCATACCATGATGCCCCATCAATCTTATTCTTTTATTTATTTATTTATTTATTTATTTATTTATTTATTTATTTATTTATTTATTTATAAATTTATTTTTTATTGGTCTTCAATTTGCCAACATATAGAATAACACCCAGTGCTCATCCCATCAAGTGCCCCCTCAGTGCCCATCACCCAGTCACCCCACCCCCTGCCCACCTCCCCTTCCACCACCCCTAGTCCCTTTCCCAGTTAGGAGTCTCTTATATTCTGTCTCCCTTTCTGATATTTTCCACTCATTTTTCTCCTTTCCCCTTATTTCCCTTTCACTATTTTTTATATTCCCCAAATGAATGAGACCATATAATGTTTGTCCTTCTCTGATTGACTTATTTCACTCAGCATAATACCCTCCAGTTCCATCCACGTCGAAGCAAATGGTGGAAACAGTCCTCTCTCCCACAGAGTTACAAAATCTGGATTACAATTCAATGTCAGAAAGCCAATTCAGAAGCACTATTATAAAGCTACTGGTGGCTCTAGAAAAAAGCATAAAGGACTCAAGAGACTTCATGACTGCAGAATTTAGAGCTAATCAGGCAGAAATTAAAAATCAATTGAATGAGATGCAATCCAAACTAGAAGTCCTAACGACGAGGGTTAACGAGTTGGAAGAACGAGTGAGGGACCTAGAAGACAAGTTGATGGCAAAGAGGGACACTGAGGAAAAAAGAGACAAACAATTAAAAGACCATGAAGATAGATTAAGGGAAATAAACGACAGCCTGAGGAAGAAAAACCTACGTTTAATTGGGGTTCCCGAGGGTGCCAAAAGGGCCAGAGGGCCAGAATATGTATTTGAACAAATCATAGCTGAAAACTTTCCTAATCTGGGAAGGGAAACAGGCATTCAGATCCAGGAAATAGATCCCCCCCCCCTAAAATCAATAAAAACCGTTCAACACCTCGACATCTAATAGTTAAGCTTGCAAATTCCAAAGATAAAGAGAAGAACCTTAAAGCAGCAAGAGACAAGAAGTCCCTGACTTTCATGGGGAGGAATATTAGGGTAACAGCAGACCTCTCCACAGAGACCTGGCAGGCCAGAAAGGGCTGGCAGGATATATTCAGGGTCCTAAATGAGAAGAACATGCAGCCAAGAATACTTTATCCAGCAAGGCTCTCATTCAGAATAGAAGGAGAGATAAAGAGCTTCCAAGACAGGCAGGAACTGAAAGAATATGACCCCCAAACCAGCTCTGCAAGAAATTTTAAGGGGGACTCTTAAAATTCCTCTTTAAGAGGAAGTCCAATGGAACAATCCATCAATCTTATTCTCGATAAGCACCTTCTGTGCTGCATCCCTTTACCTCTCTGTTCTCTAGTACATCTGCTATATATAAAGGTGCCTGACTGGTTGTTATGTGATTTGCCTATTATCATTGTACTGGTAAACTTGGGTGGGTTTAACTTTTTTATATTTGTATATTGTTCTGGTGTAAAATGAGATTTTAGCTCATCTAGGATGAGAGTTGTTAATCATATTAGCATTTTTTCTAATCACAGCTCTCAACATATGTGTGTTAACTTCACATTTCACGTAATAAGCATCTTCCCAGATGTTTTCTGAATACAGTTGTAAAACTAAAAAGTACTTTTAGTGGTAGGAATTGTCTCTAGCAAGCTAGGTAATTAGTAGAATTTTGGATGGAGGGTTTTGCCTATGAAAGATTGTTACTGCTATCAATAATCACTTATTCCACAAGCTCAAGAGCGTAATGGTGAGCTGAGAAATCAGGTGAAGGTTTTTCATCTTTATTTGATGTATAAAATTTGATTTAATTTCCTCAGGAAAAGTAATTGTTTTATTCCATATACTTCTGTATGACATATTTAGATCAAATACTTTTGACTGAATTAACAAAATAAGCAAAAATAAATTTCCTGGGCACCTGGGTGGCTCAGTCAGTTAAGTGCTGCCTTCAGCTCAGGTCATGATCCAAGAGTCCTGGTATTGAGTCCTGAGTTGGGCTCCTTGCTCATCAGGGAGTCTACTTCTCCTTCTCCCTAGACTCCTCCCTCTGTTCATGTTTTCTTCTCTCTCTCTCATTCACTCTCTCTCAGAAAAAAACAAACAAAACCTGTTTATTTTTTAAAATATTTTATTTATTCATGAGAGTTACAGAGAGAGAGAGGGAGAGAGAGAGAGAGGGAGGGAGAGAGGCAGAGACACAGGTAGAGGGAGAAGCAGTCTTCCTGCAAGGAGCCTGATGTGGGACTCGATCTTGAGACTTCAGGATCACGCCCTGGGCTGAAGGCAGGCACTAAACTGCTGAGCCACCCAGGGATCCCCCAAAGACCTGTTTAAATAAGATAAAAGTTTCCTGATTTATCTCTGTACTTATGTAATAGTTAATTTGTTTTCTATTATATGGTCTATTTGTTAGGTAATAGTCATTAGTTAATTGAATGGATAATATTTGATCAAATGTTAATAAAATATTTGAGCAAAGAGTTAATGGTTTAGAATATTTTGTTTCATGGTTGGGTTAAGGGACAATACACATATAAATATATTTTCATATATTTTTTTAATAGCAACTGTTCTGGTAAATCAGTTTCTCACATAGAACATGAACCCCTTCTATGCAGGACTGATCATTAATTCTTGACATGTAACATGTGATATTCATTAAATGAACAGATAATCATTTCGAAAAATACCATATCTGTTCCAGGATCTGATCTTCAGGTTTGTGTATCCAAAAAACCTACATGTTGCAGCAGGAGGATGGAGGAGAGATACCAGATTGCAGCTCGTCAAGATATGCAGCAAGTGCTTCAAACATCCAGTTCAACATTAAAGTTTTTGATATCGCGAAATGCTGCAGCTTTTCAAGGTAAATGTATTTTGATTTCTGAAAGTAAGGAGAAGCCTTGTTATGCAGTTTTCCTATTATTATTATACTGCGTCACTTGTCTGGCTTAACTTGTCTTTGCATACCATTATTCTGGTATAAAATGAAATTTTAGCTTCTTTTAACCCTCAGAACTTGTTTCTGAAGTCATCCTGAGCATTCATGTTGAATTGGATTGGGCAACCCTTCTGTTAGTGAAATGGAAATATATACCCTTCTAGGGTCCTCCAAGATCCCCCAGTATTCTGACTTATGGTTTTACTACAACATGGATGGACATAATTATTAGATTTTAGTAAAGTATTCTGTAACATAAAATCTCATGGCTTTTAACTGGCTAATTATAGATTTGTTTTTAAAAATACTATTTGAAGAAATATTTGTCTAATTTTTCCCCCTACTACCTCATGTGGTTTTCATAAGAACACCAGTGTGATATATCAAAGTGCAGACAAGTCTGATAAACAATAAAATAGGAAATATTAATTGGATATTTAAGGATCAGCTAAGACCAGAACTCAGCCTCAATTCAAATAGTATGTTCAGAAATAAAATTAATGGGTTATAAAATTACAAGGCACATTGGAAAATAGATGATCTTTTTCTTATTTTAGTCATCATCTCTATAAAATTCCTTATTACTACAGTAAAATAGCTTAATTTATTTTTCTTTTTATAAAGGATTAGTTTTTCTGCATATGATTAGAATAAAAATATCTAGATTATACTACTTTTCAAACATATTTATTACTTTTGTTCAAAGCAAAATATAACTTCAGGTAGTTTTCCTTTTTCTCAAGTATATTAATGTCAATCTATTTAAATAACTTGTGCTTTGTTTACATGCATAACTAAATCACAAAGCTGATTAATTTTTAAAACTATGCTCATTAAATAAAATAAACACAATAAATCAGGATAAAATTTAAGTTGAGATAAAATGTAGGTCCATGATGAATTGGTGATTTTTTTAAGGAGGAAACTGACTTATCAGATTTTAAGATGTTATTATTTTAGTGATTTTTTTTAAGATGTGTTAGAAACAACCTTTCTGTTATGGGATGTATTCATGTGAAATTGTTGGAAGAAAACATATTGATATGCTTTTATTTTTTATTTTGTTATTTATTTATTTATTTATTTTTGATATGCCTTTTAGACAAAAATTTGTCATTTGAACTGGTTGAACCAGAACTAGAAGACTTTAACCAGACAGAGTGATATGATGATTTTTTTCTCATAAAAATGCACAACATGCACAATATGGATAATGCATTGTAGAGATAAAGGGACAATAAACAAGTTTGACCAGAACAGGCATGAGGAATGTGATGGAGATTCATATGCCTGAAAAGGTGAATTGGACTCACTTGGAAAGAACCTTAGAGTATTAACTTAAGTTTGAGAGTCATTAAAGATTTTTGAACAGGAAAGCTTCATTACGATTTCCTAACTTGTAATGTCAAAACAAAATCCCTTCAAGTAAGAATATATGGCTGAAGAAGATCATGACCAAAGAGGCCGACTTTTTATGGATGAAAATTAACTATAGAAGTGAAAAGAAAGTGCCATCAGTTGCTAATATATTGGCACTCAATGAATGTTAGTTGGACATTTTCTTCTGCCTTCAAAGATACTGTAACCTTTCACACATTGTTGGATAAATTGATCAAGATAGAGAGATAGAGTATGTTATGGAGTGCCTAGTTTGCTCAGTTGGTAGGGCATACAACTCTGGATCTCAGGGTTGTGATTTCAACTTCCACATTGGGTGTGGAGCCTACTTTAAAAAAAACATAGATAGATAGATAGATAGATAGATCGAGAGAGAGACTACATTAAGTTCAAAGGATTGGGAAAATACAAAACCTGCATTATTTAGACTTTTAAGATGGGTTCAGGCAGCTGAAATATTTTGGTGATATCACTAAAAGTTTGGTGACAACTAACTAGTAGAAATACATGGCTTTGTCTCTACCAGAGTGTCAGATAATTTTATGTACATTAAAAATCGTTCTCTTTAATACATTGTACTGTATTCAATAGGTTGAGTTTTGCTGTTTACTTAAATATTAATCATAGAAAATGAAATTATAGGAACTTTCTTAAATATGACTTGTTATAAATTTTCTCCCTTTTCTTTTTAAAGATTTTATTTATTTATTCACGAGATACACAGTGAGACAGAGACTTAGGCAGAAGGAGAAAAAGGCTTCCTGTGGGGAGACCGATGTGGGATCTGATCCTGGGATTCCGGGATCACGCCCTGAGCTGAAGGCAGACATTCAACTGCTGAGCCACCCAAGGTGTCCCTTGGACAATCCCTTGTCCCTTGTTTTCTCCTTTTATGAAATGTCATTTTATTTAAGAATCAAGAAAGCAAGACAAAGTTATAAGAAATTTGCCTAAAGGCTAACTTTATTGGAATACATTCTTTTATAAGAATACCTGCTTTTTTTTTTTTAAGAATACCTGCTTTTAATTTGATAAATAGAGTAGTTTTAGGCTATGTCCAGAAAAACAAGCTTAAATACATATACAAATTTTTTCTAAATACATATGCTAAGAGCAATTTGAGAAATCACATTTACTGTACCATAATTGAGCAGGCAACTTTGTCAATAAGTAAAATGCCTACCATCTAGTTTCTGTGCCATCAGAATATCTGAAAAACAATTCAAAGTCTTTCTTTTTCTAAGAAGAAAGAATCCAACACATTTTATTGGGAAACTGTCTGCTGGATAGAAATTTAATGGGGAAATCAATTTGCTTTTCAAATGATGTTAGCAGATTTGCTACATTTTGATATGTAGCAAATTTGATTTTTAAATATTTAATTTATGTCTTCTACTCCAATACTCTATGTATTCTGGGTTATAAAAGACTTTAGACTGAGTAGTAGTCTAGATGTACTTTGGTTCCTTCTCTCATGGCTTTTGTAGAATCTCCTGGAAGCATGTTTTTGAAGCAGCACTTTGGGTGTGGCTGATGGGAATGATCACTTGGGTCTGTGGATTTAGGGAGCACCCACATTATTGTGAGATGAAGGAATTTTTAAAGTGGGGGGAGGAAACAGACAACTGGTGCTAGAAGACATGAGGTTATCCTATTTACAATCCCCATTCAGCTTTAGAATTCAGTCCTGGAAAGTAGAGTTGGAATCAGCTTACTGGGACAACTCTTCTATTTTTCTTTTATGGAATTTATTTGTGTTTGTTTCAGTCTGATTTCCTTAAAATAAACAAACAACAAAATAAATATCTATTTTGGAAGGGTCCATAATTATGACCTGGGGCTTCTATATCCTAAGTGTAGTCATTCAGACAAGATGAAGTCTTTTATAAGATAAAAGGAACAAGCTGATATCTCTGTGTCTGTTGCTGTTCGTAAATACATGGTGCTATTTGCAAAGAGGAATGTTAGCTTCGTCACAGTGCAGACAATAATTGTTCTTTATTTTCAGGGGCTTAATAATGCTCATGAATAAAGCAGAACAGCTTGAGATAATGCAAAAGACTTTACTTCCCTTCAGCTCTTCTACTGTGAATGTGGGGTTGTTGGCTTTAAAAATATTTTGGAAATATTCTTCATAATGTTTTATTTATTTATACACTAAAGTATGGTGTGACTCATGAAGAAATAGAGGAAGTTGACAGAGAATATGTCATCTACCGTAAAAAAGCAACTCTTAAGCAGCTTTCAAATTTGTCAGTTTTTAATCTCCATTCAAATAAGATGATGCAATTTAGTTCTTTAAATTTAAAACTAAACAAAATTTTCAGCATCACTTTCAGAAATTAATAGGAAAGAAAAAAATAAAAAATAAAAGGAAGGAATATTTGGAAAAACGATACTGGAAACTTGTGTTTTGTTGAAAGGTTTGGGAGGTAAGGTTAGAAAGCTACATCTTTCCTTTGAGATGTACCTCTCCCTATTTCTCATATCTTCCAGTAGTTCATGTATTTCTAAAATATACAATAGATACTAGGTATTTATTCTGGAGATTTCCAGTTTTATATGAGGCATTTAAAAAGTGTACATTATTACAGAAGACTGAGTGATAAATGATAGAACAGGAAGATTTAGCATTTTATTTACGATTTAATTCTCTTGGCTGATTAAATTTTCATATCTTGGTTGTAAGTACTTGAAAGATTGGCAAGCTTGTCCTTGTGGGTTGAAATGTAAGATTTAGGGATTTAATAAAAAAATACATCCTATTTTTAATGAAATATAGGAATAATTCCAAATTAAAAAATAGGTAAATTAAGAATGAGAATGTAATTAATGGATTTTCCTCCTTACACTAACAGATGTTAGCTACTGTAAAGTGTGTGGCTAGTGTATAACTACTGGAAAACTAATGTAAAATCAAAGGCATCTATATCTGTAGTCAAAGGCAGACAGATATAGTGAATATTTGAATTTATTAACATATTGGAGAGTAAAGAGATTTATATAAGTATTATTAAGCATGAAGTATATTAATTTTATTTCATTCACTTCAGCTATACCTTACAAAGCTAGATAAATTTTAAAATTATTCCTTGGAAGAGTATTAAGTGGGAGGATAAAGGAATAATACTTTTTTTTTTTTAACACTGGGAATTACCTGATCAACAGTTCAAGTGTAAGAGAACGAGTAGCCTAAGGCTGGCAGGGTTGAGGAGGCTTGTTTTTCTCTATCTCTAGCACCTAGTAAATATAATTAATTGAACCACATAAATGAATGAATGAGTGAATGAATGAATGAATGAACAGTACTCCACAGGAGGATGGTTCTGAAGTACAATGACAGACTCTCTTCCTTCCTCTCACCTTTCTTTCATGTATTCCTCTCTCAATGGTTTACTATAGCTGTGGAGCACCTACTAGGTGCCAGCGCTGTCAGGTACTTGGGTTGTAAGTGTCCAGACCTTCAATCTGTTTTATTTTTATTGATTCCTTCAGACTTCTAATATGGCAACATCTGGTTATTGCTT